CGCCAAAAGCATATGGAACCCTGGCCAGGGAATAAATAGGGTGGCTTCCCTGAAACCCAAATGGAGTTTGGAAACACAAGCCTCCCTGACTCTCCACCTGAGGTCACATTTGGCCGGGAGGAGGGGAGGGGGGGTCTTGGGTGACCAAGGGGAGAATGCTCTGAGGCCACGCCAAGTCCTCACAGTCCTGCAGTTTAACAGGACTTGGCTAAGTCCACAAAAGGAAGGAGGTACGCCAATGCAGTGTCACTCCCGCCTCCCAGGGCTGGCCACGTGACCATGCTTTTATAACAGGGTCATTCGAGAGGGGCACTCTGTGCTCTGAGAAACCGATTGCTGAGAATTCTTACTCAGGCCTCAAGGGCTTAGGGCAGGGTTCATTAATAGCCATTCCAGGCCTGGCCTAACTCTGTCTCTGGGCCTGCCTACGGGAGGCCCCAGGCATAAACATTCTTATTTAGCCACAGCATAAACATTCACGCTGGAGAGGGGAGAGGGAAACATCACATTAAGAGTCCAGGTAAAGCTGGACTCTGGTGCCAGGCTTTGCTACTGGCCTTAAAAGAATACTGGCATTTACACAAGGCCAAAAAGATATCTGGGCACCAGAAGTGAAATCGTGAGGATGACGAAATTGATTCCAAGGGCCCCCATGGAAGGCCAAACATAAAGAAAATAAAACCAACATCAAGATTCAAAAACATGGGCACCTGACTGTCTCAGTTGGTGGAGCGTGCAACTCTTGATCTTGGGGTCGTGAGTTCAAGCCCCATGTTGGGTGCAGAGATTACTTAAAAAGTAAATAAACATTTTAAAACAGAGATTCAAAACAACTATTTAATTCCTAGATGAAGACAAGCCTGTTCTAGATCCCCAAAATTCAGTTCTATAAGCTACATATATGCCAAAGAGTGGATTATCTCTAATATATGGGAAGGTCTTACATATCAATAATTACAAAACGATCTAGCATGTACAGAGCATTTCTATGTGCCAACTGCTGGGTTAAGAACTCAGATGCATCATCTCATTTATCCATCGGTTTTTATTATAATCATTATCATCTTCTTTAACTTCACAGCTGAGAAAACCAAAGCACTAAGTGCCTACATGACTTGCCACAAATCATAGAGACAGCAAGAGTCAGAGGAAGAGGTCACACTCGGGTCTCACCAAGTTTTGAGACTGCTTTTGTCACTGTAGACTACTTTAAATCCAAGATATGAACGATGAACATTATACGTGTTCCGTGTGTGTCTATATGTGTGTGTGTCTGTGTGTGAGTGAATCAGTCAGACTGTAGAGAGAGAGGGAAAAGGTCAGTCAGACAGTAGGCTAGGAGGCAGAAAGAGAGAGAGTCAGACTGTAGGCCAGGTAGGAAAAGATTCCAGATTGCCTAAGGGGAGAGAGGGTCATGCCCTCTCTAGACTCCAAGCACAGCCAGACAGGTAAGTGAGTGGCCATATGAAAGGCAAAGGCTTTTGTTTTCACTTGATATCCACCTCCAGCCTGCCATTTCTATTGGGTATGGGAAACGGATAATGGGCTACTAGAAAGTCCTATGGGAGTTACCTCACCTATACAATGGGAACAACAAGTACGCACCTCGTAGGACTGTCATAAGGAGTTAATATGTTGAAGTACTTAGAAGAGCACATTGTATATAGTAAGACTCATATATGCATTTCATAAATAAATGATGAAAATTTTGCATAAAGCTTCAAGATGTAAAGGGAGGCAAGGAGAAAAAAGGGAAATCAAGTGAGAGTCGGACTGTTAAAAAAATTCAAAGGATGAAAAGGAGGTGCATAGAAAGCAAAAGGACAGACTGAAGGCCAGAACCAAGCAGCACAACAGACGTCTGTTGGATACAGACTTCTGTTCAGTTAGTCATGCTCATAAATCTCCTTGACAGCTCAAAGTCTTGGCCATTACTATCATCACAAATATTTTGTCAGCTTTTTTGTTTTTGTGTAGGATACTGAGCTAAATTAGCTTCGTTGGTAAGAAACTGGGGCAATATGGCAAATGTCATGGGTTTAATTCTCTTCCAGGTCAGTTCCTGTCATTAAATTTAGTTCCACAAACATTAATCAATCCATTATTATGTCTAATATTGTTCCAGGGGCTGTAGGGAAAAGGAGATCAGTATAACACATAGTATCTGCCTTCAAGAAAATAATCTTGGGGCGCCTGGGTGGCTCAGTTGGTTAAGCATCCAACTTCGGCTCAGGCCATGATCTCGAGGTTCGTGGATTCGAACCTCACATCGGTTCTGTGCTGACAGCTCGGACCTCACATCGGGTTCTGTGCTGACAGCTTGGAGCCTGGAGCCTGCTTCGCATTCTGTGTCTACCTCTCCGTCTGCCTCTTCCCCGCTTGCTCGTGCTCTCTGTCTCTCAAAAATAATAAACATTAAAAAAAAAAAAGAAAAAAAAATCTTACTGACAA